CAACAAGGCAACAGAAGAACGTTCATATATATATATATGGTCATTGGGACCTTTCGAGTTATATATATATATACTCGAAAGGTCCCAATGACCTTATATTTCACACTCACAAGCGAACTGTCTTATTTTCTTTACGAGTCTGCTAAACAGTCGATTTTAAGATTTAATTGAGGTCGAATAACACTGTTTTGAAATTTATGGTTGCATTATATAAACTCAAACATGGACGCTTTTATGTTATCCCTAGAAAATTTGGCTAATCGGTAAGGCACAAACCAGAAATCATTATGACCCGGAAATCAATTGAGTCGGAAATTACAAATATTGCAATTAACACTCCATATAAAGATCAAGGATCAGAATTAACAAATTATTAGACCTTTTATATGAATGACGGCTTAATTGAATAACTAATTGCAGTTTTAATAATCATTAATGTTAAAAATTATTGCAAATCTTTGAATCTTGGCTTTGGCAAGTAAATAATGTCGCTTTTCAATTAAAGGATAAATTAGCTCAATATTTACTTTTGTTGTCTATGCTATTTTCAATTAAAAATACGTTTGTTTAACTCCTAACTTGAAACGCTTCATTATTCCTCAATTTCGTTTTCAACTTCTTTAACTGTGTCCAATAATTTAATAGGTAATCATGTCTTGGGGTGAAACATATCGTATGTCCTTGGATGGTAAACTAGATTTATTTTTTTATTGCTAAACCTAAATATGGCTTGCAGTATTTTCTTAGCTTATAATACAAACAAAACCACGCACCTGATATGTAAGGTTTTTTCCAAACACAAGAATTTTACCTGTAAATGAATGCCGAGCCGATTGCCAGGACTACGACCACTGAGCTGAGGACGATGGTAAGTATAGCGTAAACGGGCATGGCTGAAAACCAAAAATACACTTCTCAGAGATGTTCACAAAGAAAAAAAAAGTTTTTTGCATATACTCTCAGCCCAAATATGTACTTATGTGTTACTGTTTAAAAACAGATGCATACTTTTGCAAAGCGACTTGTCGAAACCGCATTCTGGCACGTCGGAAGGTTGCGTGGTCCTTCCTCCTGCCCAGTGGATTTTGGCATCAGGAACGTACTCTAGCGAGCCTTTTATGCCGATGTAGTGAGCGACAATCTGGAAAATTTCATTTGTTAATTTCAATAGGGTACTCAGGTTTTGTATTTTAAAAACAAGCGTATTTATATTTACTTTATAGTATTTTTATATAGAAAACACTGACCTATTTTTAATATTTTAATGTAATAAACTTTAATCTTATTACGATCCATGGCTATAAAACGGATTATTAATGGATTGGACTGAAAGAGGCAGTAAATTTATGAAAACCCTAACCAAGGTTATAGTTAAATAGATTAAAACCTAAGCTGCACATTTTGGTCCTCCGGGCCGGATATATCTACTAGGCTATCTAGCCAAAGCTGGGTGTAGTAATAATACCCTAAGCACTAAAGCCTTCATACATTTGGGTTTCACATCCATTTTAACACCGATTACTGTAATCTTAACCCCGATTTACTTAATCCCATACTTGGAAGACTTTAAAGAGTGGTGAAATCTTCTTCGAAAGATACTTTTTTACTGGGCACAAAGGCCGTTGTATTCCGAGTTGTACGAAAACAGCAACCCCTTTCGATTCAAATAATACACTCTTTCATTTTATGTTTAAAAATTTGATTACAAAGCCTTTACATTGTTAAATCCATTCATAAAATTATAATTGTCATGAAATTTTATGACCAAAATCAAAATTTTCTGAAGAAATGCAAAAAGATAGTACTAATACTTCTCCGATTATTATATAATTTTTCGTAGTGTATTTTATAATATTGTAATCATCAAAAAGTAGAAACCAAAGCTTATATAAATGCAAAAATAACAGTAAATATTGTGAAACCAAATCTATGAAAGGTAGGTTACAGACTGTGTGTTATTTAAAAAACTATCTTACATGTAAAATTATGAATTTGAAAATAAGAACGATAATAGAGTAAGTTTTAAATAAAATGCAGTTCTTTTAAATACTTTCAGTACATCTCCAACCAAGTTTCCGGATAACAAAGGTGTGCAAAAATATTTTTTATTTCTAGAAATTCCAATATTTTATCGTGCAGTATGCGTTCTTATGAAGCGAGGCCGCAAAACTTCCTTCTTTCAGAATTTAAAGTGTTGATAAAAGTCGGCAATGGGTAACTGTCGGAAGAAATCATGAACGCGTTGTCTATTACATTTTCAAGAGGGCTCTTTTTCCCCTACGAACGAGATGAAGCCGAGTTGCCTTTTCAACTGACTTTTCCAAATCGTGCTTGTTAAAGAAACAGGTCCAGATGTTAATCCGGCCATGTGATTCTATATTTTTTTCCAAATTATTGTTTCCACAGAGTTTTTGCCTCGAATCGGTGCCTTGATCGGTACGTTCGACTAAAACAGTCGTCCTAGATGGACGAGTCACAAGGGTCAAGTCATATGTCGGCCCAAGGTGAATCCCGATGGCTTGGGGTAAGTTGTACTGAATAATACATAGCAAAATGGTAGCTGTACAAATTGTAGCCGGATAAGAAAACACTTAAGCTTTCAAGTGTTTAATTCCGAAAAATACACGTTTTTATGACAAAGTATGAAAAGTCAAGTTGCACAGTTCAGTGTCCTTATTTACTTAATCATACAATTAAAAACCTATTTTCTGTTGATCTGTTATCTAAAAACATTATTTGTAATAGACAATAAGATAAACTACGCTATACAAGATCTACAAATTCATCTGGTCAATTGGTGTGGGGCCCTGAAATACCTTTTGCATAGTTCGGATTACTTGACGAGATGTGGGGTATGGAAAATTGAAATATGACATAGCAATACTTTCTGGTATTCAGGAGTCAAGAATACGTTTGATTGAGATTTCGCTCCCTTAACGCAATGATGATGCAATAAAACAAATAAAACTCTCCCTCTCTAAAACACTCCCTGCGTCTTCCCGGACGAGTTCGATCATCTCTTCTCCATCACTAACGCTCTTGCAGTGCTAGCCAGGTCGCTTTACTGAGCTACGTTGTTAGAAATCGGATCGGGATTCAGTCCGCCTATCTCGTCCGTACGGACATCCTGAGTGTGCTTACAGACTGAGTTGTAGCGCCTAGGAAAAATTAGTCGTCTGTGTGGAGGGCGACGAACGTGCAGATGAGGCGGCTAAATCCGGTAGTTTCGCCCTCCAGACCAAACCACCGCGATCTTCCGAGAAACTCTTGCGTATCATGAGTACGACTGAACTATGGCCCATCATCGTCTGAAACGCGAGGAAGAGATTATAATTACACATTGGAGGATAGGTCATACCCGATTGAAACTCGGACACCTGCTTTTGGGGCAAACCCCGCGCAAGTGTCTCGATTTAGAGAAGGGTTGCTCCTTGTGTCACATTTGGGCGGGGTGTGCCAGCTCTTACCTTTATAGAGAGCGAGTAAGATTGGCACACAATATGAGAATGTGTTGTTGGTCCCCCTGTCCTAAGTTTAAGAGAAACGGGGGTGTTTCTCCATCTTGAGAGTGTTATTATTGTATCTAATTTATGTATGCACTGTATATAATGAATTGTATGTAATGTTCTGTATGTAAAGTGTGTATATAAATAGGTGTGTCTGTGAATGAGTAAGTGAGAGGGCCGATGGCGGAATATCGAGTACACCATAATCTCTCACTGTATATTGGGGCCTGATATGACTCCAATGTCGATAGCCCCAATGTGAAAAAGGAATAATAAAAAAATTAAAAAATAAATACAAAAATCACCAGTTACATTCCCTGGGCCGTTCCTTTGAAGAGAAGAGCTTAGAGGAAGGCTTAAGGACAATTCCCTAAATTTTATCAATTTTGGAATTATATCAGTGGCTGCGGTTCGGCGGTATGAGATATCCCTTAGGCACGGTGGGGAGGCGGTTGGGAAAAAAAGTACCGCCTTTTCGACATAACCACCAACATTTATTTATGTAATGCTTAATATTTGCGAGTCATTGTCTACAATCTGCATGAAAATATAGGTGCAGATTGCTAGCACAGTCTGATGATGAGCATTTATGCTAGTATTCCGGTGCACTGCGCAAAACTGTTCACGAGCAGAACCATCATTTTCTACTATTAAACATTACATTCCGTTCACAAACTCGGCGAGCCCGATGTTGAATATGATAAATGCTACAGTCATTAGTTTGGTCATTATCGATTATTTTGGTCTGACTATCGTCAGTGGTCGGACTGTTGGATGCAGGATTTGACATCTTCAGTGCTAGGTTTAAAGTCCCTTTTATAAGATCGGGCCAGATTCAATGGATTAAGGATGTTTTTTTTATTGTTTTGGTCGGACTGACATTCACAAACGTAAATGGACTGATGTCCATGGATTTTCATGTTTCTCTCTGCTTTGCACATCTTCTTTAGGTGTCAATTAAAACGGCAATGGCCGGTATAGTTTTTCGCCTGCAGAAAGAGAGACAGCGAGCGAGCGAGAGAGAAAGTGTGTGTGTGTGTGTGTGTGTGTGTGTGTGTGTGTGTGTGAGAGAGAGAGAGAGAGAGAGANGAGAGAAATGATAAGAGAGTTACTATGCCTCCCATGTGCCTGATCGTTCTTTTTCAAGCTGTATTCTGGCTCCAACTTTAGCACACTCTCCGGGACGTCTAGTGATTTTGGTCTCACGGATGAACAGTGAGCTTCTTTCTAGTTTCTTCGTTTGGTATTCGTTTCTTTTTATACCGTCATGTCCCATACTCTACGATTCCTCCTCAAGGTAACCTTGTTCTGTTCTTCTAGGGCATAGGCAATTTACTTATTCTCAGACTGCTTTCGAATAAAAACATACACATTTAATGATTCTATGGCTGCCTGACAGCCCTGATCACTGTAAATTTATGTTCTTCTTTATCAACTCATGCACCCACATTGTTGGGTGGACTTCAGCTTGTTAGATAATAAAGTCAAAGGGATTTTTCTAGGTATAAACATTGCTCCCACACCCCTAAAACTCTTTTACATTAATTTATGTTATAGCTATTTTTAACGTTGATTTTTTTTGTAATTTGAAGAAACCAACAATATTTATTTATGTTACCATCAACAAGCATTCATTCTACAATAAGTGAAGGAACAATAATCTTTTTTTTTTTTTTTTTTTTTTTTTTTTTTTTTTTTTTTTTTTTTTTTTTTTTTTTTTTTTTTTTTNTTTTTTTTTTTTGGCGTTATGAACTATGCATATTAGCCATGTGACAAATTCGTATATGTGTGTTCAAATTTGGGGGGTTATTGGGAAAAAAGGGCCGGTGGGAATCGAACCCACGACCGCGGCGTGAGAGTCTCTCATGCTAACCACTCGGCTACCGCGGTCCCCCAACAATAATCTTTTAATAACAGCATGTTATTGTTAAATGAATATTAAGTAAAAATGTTGATAGGTTAACCCTCATTTTATTTATTTTGTAATAAAACAGGCAGAAGTGTAGATGTTTTTTTTTAATAAGTAAAGAAAAGGATTGTTTAGAAACATAAAAAACAAATCATGATACAGATTTTTAAATTAATAAGTAAAGTGAAAAATGAAAAATTAAGATGATTGGCACAAATGATAATTTTTATCCTTTTCTGTGTTATCATTACAGAGGAAATCAGGTAATTAAATAGTAAATCGCCGTAAAAATAACAAATAAGTCGACTTCATTTAAAACATAAAAAATTTATTTCTTTAAAGGACCCATTAAGTTATCTTGCAAAAACGCTTCGCTGGTATTTCTAATTTATTTTTTATTACGAAGTTGTAAATGTAAATATTTTACTGGTGTAATAATCCTTTGGATTTTATTAGCCGGTTTTAAAAATTTATTTAAGTCGATCGTGTTATCTTTACTTTAAATGAAATGTCTTTTTCAGCATGGGAACCTGAGACATTCACCCGCCGAGTGGAATATCCTTCGCCATTTCACGACGGTTAACGACACTCCGATGGACCCTTGGCAACAGTTTCCAACGGTAAAACTTGTGTTAAAAGCGTACCTATCGTACCTAATAAGTCTCGTCTCAGGAGGAGAACATCGGCGATCCCCCAAGAAGGAGAAGATTCTGGGCCAGGCAAAGGAGGGAAAACCAAAGAGGTACCGAATTGACTTGGAGGATATCTCTCCCCCAGGTCGGACCGGTATCGGCAAGAGAATCCTGGCAAACAGTGAGAAAAACAATAAGCCTCCTAGGCGTGCGAACCAGCGATGCTTACCTCTGACGTACTTGCAAGCGATAACAATACCTAGAACGGTCACGGCCCCAATTACGAAAAATAAACACAATTAAATAACTATATTTATTCAGTACAATAACACTCAGGCATAGTTTCCTAATTGTACAAGCATTACTCACAGATGTACTTGCACATGTTTACATTATAAATATATAAGCGAATTAATGCAGATTTTCATGATGATTGGAAATCTAGGAAGAGAGGGTTGAGCATTTCCCAACCATCGGGCTTATTGTACTTTTTCTAGTGCCTTAGTTCAGTTGCCCGGACTTTTGGCTGAAACTATATGCTAGCCAGTTTTGGTAAGGGTTCTTTTATCTTACCGTGTACCGCACATCTGGATTTCGTCCTATTCTCATTTTGTTTCCATTTTTTTATATTCTTCTTATACTATGTATTGACAGTGGGCATATACAAAGTGTCAACGTCAAACGTTCTTCCATAAACCCTACAGACTTATGAATCCAATAATATCACCTATAATGACATACTAAACAGTGCGAATTTTCGAATGTGAACAGAGGAAAATACGAGAAATTCGTACTTTTGTAATCATCACGTGGTTCACGGTATCAACGTTTGGTGTGGCCTCCTCGGGAATAAATTAATTGAGCCTTATTTCTACAAAAATACTTTAAATGGTGCTCAATGTTTTGAGGGAGGTTTTACCAACACTATTAGATATTCTTCTGCAACAACGACACATATTGATTCTCCAGCTTGATGGATGCCCCGCACACAGTTCTGTGTAGGTGAGACGTTATTCGAATCGTCATTTGCGGGATTGGTGGATAGAACCTCATGGCCAGATCTGTTGCCCTCCTCGGTCACCCGATTTAACACTCGAATTGATTTTTCTGAGCGGCCATTTAAAAAACAATGTCTACGTTAATCATAACCCAGTAATCTCAGTTGAAGAACTGCGACAAAAGATAGAAAATGCTTGTCAATCCATCTCCCCTGAATCTATCGCTCTGAGAACCGGTGAAGAGTGGTTAAAAATATGAAATCTTCGCACCTTTCGCAAGGCAGGCAGTTCGAACATGAAATGTGACTAATAAATAGCAAACAAAATGTCTGTTTATCTATCAAACTATTTGCCGTAACTTTGTCATTATTTGATTTGTCAATTTAAAATACGAATTCTCTCTTATTTTCCTCTGTTCACATTCGAAAATTCGAACTGTATGGTATGTCGTTACAGGTGAAATTGACATCAGTCCGTAGGGTGTATGGAAGAAAGTTTTCTTCAGCCTCCCAAATCGACATTTGTGCAAGGAACGTTAGGCGCCTGTCATAATCAGAGTCCCGAAGTCCCTGGAAAATATGAGAGCGGTACTGCTTAAAATTTCATTCCGGAGTACATTTCTAATTTTATTGTTTGAAAAACCTAAACCGCTTCTAACATTTTGGAGAGAAGAATTCCCATTTTCGCGAAAATGCAATAAAATATTCTACCCCTCGTCAAAATTACGCTGCCGGTTTCTTTTCCCGTAAATTTGTCATTTTTTGACCAATTTCAAATCCGACTGCACCATAATTTTCAGCGTAAAAAATTGTTAAACTGTTATAATAATAATAATAATAATAATATATATGTATAGAGCAGTATTTAAAATTTTGAAGTTGAATTGGGCTTGATGTACCCTGCATAAGTTTTCTCCAAAAAACGTAAACATTTGAAACTAGTCTAAAAATTATTGAACACTTTTTTATCATAGAAATGATGAATGATGGAGTGAGTGTGGTGTTCAATCCTATTTTAAAAAGATATTTGCTACTCACAGTAAGTTGTTTTGCAACGATCCGGATTTCGAGCCCTTTAGCTCATCATCAGGTTGAAGGATTTCTACAACCACGTCTCTCGACATGAATTGCAAAAGTAAACCCGCTGATATCCCCGCCAACACGATGTTCTAATGAGAAGCTGTTTTTTTTTAATGGAGCTCAATTTGAACGAGCGAAAAATTGTGTTGTAATTCCCGCTTTTCGCACGTTCAAATTGAGCGACATTAATAAACCAGCTTCTCATTGGAACATCGCATTGGCGGGGGTATCAGCAGGTTCACTTTTGCAATTCATGTCGAGAGACGAGGTTGTAGCAATCCTTCGACCTGATGATGAGCTAAAGGGCTCGAAATCTGGACGTTGCAAAACAACTTACTGTGAGTAGGAACTGTTTTTTTTTTTTTGATAGCGTGATTGGTTCAAGATTAATTCAGCCGGGCCATTTTCAAATTAGCCAGTTTCTCTTATTTTCAAGAAGCATTTTTTTCCGTTTTGATAATTATCGCGTTCAAAATAACGCGTGTGCCTCCTCCCGCGTCCTAAAGGCGACACATCATCCAGGGTTCGGACGGAGCCCAGAAGGTAATTAATAGACTAGGATTCTGTTTTACCTTTGGCCACAGTTATTGCAGGTTCTAGCTATTAAACTGCTCTCCTCCCTGGTTGTTTAGAAAATCAGGAAACCGTTAACAAGTTAGTATTTTATTTTATTTTGTATTTATTTAATTTAATTTTATTTTTATTGCGACCGACCAGCGCGTGCACACGTTTTCTCAGTTCGCAGTGACCGGTATATTGTTATATCACTCCCCTGAGTTTTGTACTGTCTACCTGTAGAAAGGATTTTTCCAGTTTTGATGAATGTTATTTAATCATGTGTTAACAATGACTGGTAACTTTAGATTTCCTCCAATTCTTATTTTCTTTTTCGTGGAACTATTCTGAAGTGGAGGAGTCTATTTGACCTTGTTATCACTATCATAGGTCCTTGGCGTATTGTTATCGTAGTTTTGCATGTGCTTCTCTGTCCAGTTTTTCTAGTTGTTAATTACCTAAAATGCCTTGTTGTCATGATATTGAAATGTTGTTATGTATTCCGTTCACCTTCTATTTTCCATGTGACAGTTTGACGTACTAATTTCTTACTTAATTCCTTCACGTAATTTCGGGTGAGATTGAAACGAGTGGTTTCAATGATTTTATATGATTTCTGTCAGATGGGTGTTTCTGATGGAAAAGTAAACTTCCACTAGACGAACGGGTTAATTAAATTCACAAAGTTCAAAACACACAAACACCCTTCCTTAACCAACCGAAACTGAGAGTTCTTCAACAAGGCAACAGAAGAACGTTCACGTTCACTGTCTTATCTTCTCGTTGTTGTAAATATAAAATAAATGTAATAATAACAAAAATCTTCTCCTACTCAAATTCTGTATTCGCGTGCAACTTTGTTTAATTTTTTATTACAGCGCTTATTTTTAAAAATTGGTAAAATTTGATAATTAAACTTTTAGACAATCGCCGCTTTAAAATCAACATTACATAAACAAAACTTTCTTTGCAACTAATTTGAACTGATATAATTAACGCATTAATATCAGTACGAAAATTATGTACATTATTACATATTGCGATAATTGCTATGAACACACTGCCAAAAAAATTCTAAAATTGTTCAAAAACCTTTTTAAAAAATTGTGAACCAATTAATACAGGGAAGGAGGTGGTCCGACCAGTCCAGGCAATTACCCTTTCCTCCTGATTTCTAATTATATTGTAAATAACATTTGGTAACGGAAATTTTTTATAATTTAGGTGGGCGGTATGTTTACTCCAGACTACTAAAAGGCTTTCCTTGTGTGACTCATGTTTCGAACATACTCACTGCTGAGTGATAAACCCCGGAGGAGACTCCACAGAAATCACCCATTCACTGAAGATGGCAAAATGCCGAAACGCGACTGAATTAACAAAATTCAGCGAGGGTAGGTAGACCACGATGCAACTATCAATCAAAACTATAAATTGTTTTATTGTTCCCAAAACTCCGCTAATCTATGCTCCTTCGTCCAAATATTACTCACACTCCTATATTACTCACTGTCTTCTTTTGTCCAGTCCTTCCTAATACTGGTTCTCGTACTGGAACTAGAGTCCGATAAACCAAAATTTATAAAGTCAGGGACTGAAGTAAATCGCTGTTTTTATTGCGTCCAATTAAGTTCACTCTCATTTTCAAGAATCTCCTTTTTTCTATTGCTCGCGCGCGTGTTAATATCGCGGGGAAAATATCCGGAGAGTCTCCTCCATTTTTTATTTGCAACAGTAATCTGGTTTCTTTCCGTAAACGTGTGTAATCATTTGTAAACATTTATTTTTTATAATAATTTACTATTGTTAATTATTTATAAGTGACCTTGGACAATTTGAAATCATGTGATATAAAAATAGCAGCGTTGGTGGCAGCAACTATTCAAGCGTTCACCGGGGAAAACCATCGCCCTAAACGTCCCGAGTTCGAATTCAGAGACTCTTAAATGAATTCAAAGGCAGTCTTGCTATTAATAGTTCATAATGCTTTGACTTTTTAAAATAATATTAAAATAGAGCAGTAATAACCCTAAATAAAGATCATTAAAAGGAAAATTTGTACGAAACAGATAAGAAATTAGGTTATTATGGGTTAGATTATTAATAATCTATTAGATTATTTCAGCACTTTTTACTTTTGTTAATCGTTTCTTTTGTAATGATATGTTTATTCAGCCTCGCTAACTGTGGAAAATGCCAAACTGAGGCAAAACGCCCAGTTTGGGCTTTTTCGTATTTTCTAATTTCAGGACTTTTTATATTTGTTAATAGTTTCTTTTGTTATAAACTGTATATTCAGCCTAGTCCAAGCGAACAGAACGTATAATATGAATAAAATAACAATAACTGTGGAAAACGGCAAAAAGAGGCAAAACGCCCAGTTTTGGCTTTTTCGTATTTACTAATTTCAGGAATTTTAACATTTGTTAATAGTTCCTTTGGTCATAAACAGTTTATTCAGCCTAGTCCATGCAAAGTCGTGGCATATGAATAAAATATCGATAACTGCGTAAAATTTCAAAAAGAAGCAAAACGCCGTTTTGGGTTCGATTTATAATTTGTATTGGTTGTTTTATTAAACATCTTGACAAAACCGTTATTATTAAATACAGATGTATTTTCCCGAAGTCATTTGAAGTTTAATGTTCACCGCCTGGAAACAATCGGGCTCGTGCGAATG